TTGTATGTAACACTGTACTCTTCTTTCTCTTTCCTCCCGCTGTTCTACACTTAGGGGATCAAGTGGCTCTCTGGGGTCTCTTCCACGTCACTGAGGTAACTTATATATCCAACTTCATCATCCTCATCATCCTCAGTGGGCTGCTCCTCCAACATATTGTCTTCTGTGAGTAGTTCATCTGCTCTCTCATTGTTTTCAGCCTCATTTAGCTGTTGGAGCTCCCTTAAATCTCTCTCTTCCTCTTCGTCTAGTCTCTGAAGAATGTTCTTTTTGTCTCTACACCATACTTCGATAAAGTTGTGTGTGTAAGGGACTCATGAAGGGCATTTTGAACATTGTGGAACCATGCTGGAGATGCCTTTGGGTCTCTCCTTTTCGTACGTACCTCATTCCAGGATTTGAGTGACGAATCCTCGTCTAGAGTTTGCTCAGCATAATATATTCCTCTTGCTGCTAATTCCCGCACAGGCTGGTCATCCACAATGCCATGAAGCATGTCTGCTATATTGAGAGCATTTCCAGGGAGCCCAAAATCGTTTGCTAGTTGCAAGTCAAACTTCACTTGTCGATCGGCCATTAGTTACAGGACGCTTGATGCGAAGTTGTGTTGTATGACTTTTTATTTTTGTGCGCTCTTGCAGTTGGGGAGCTGCTCGGTCCTAAGGGGCGCTTCTGGGAGGGCCAATGAGACGTGCTCTACAGATTACGTCCCATCAAAAACCCCATTGTCATTTAGGCGTAGGAACAGGGTTGATTTATCTGCTCCTCTGTCTGTGCCTTTCTTCTAAAGTTTTTAATTGCATAGAAATCTAGGGTGATGCATTATGCTGTCTGGGTGTGTGACGGCATACGGTGCTTGCTCTTACATAAGCCTTCATATACAGTCCTGACAGTTCGTTTTTTTTTTTTTTTTTGATAACAAGGACCCACGAGGTCATGTAGGATTTATTTAGATGTTAGCTCTATAAATGGGTTGCCCCATTACTGGGGTCGCAAATAAAGCGGTATCCAATAATCGACCGAAGCCGCATCGTCATACTGCCACAGTACTACACCCTGTTCATAAACCACGTCAGCATTGAGTAGACTTCCTTGGTCCCAGAGGACCTGTGGCACGGCTCTACTCCCTACTTGGCCTGTTGTGCGCGAAGGTCATCCTTTAGCCGCTGTCCTCAATCATCAAAAATTTACAGCTTTCCAGGCGCTCCATAATCGCCAATTCCACCTGTTGCCGGTAGCTTTCCGCCACTCGCCGGTCTGCCTCAGTCCTGATCGCCTTCACATCTGCTGTTCGTCGTTGTCCCTGGTGAGAGCCAAAGAATTCACCTCTGCTATGTCTGTGCCTCCCAACACAGTTGCGTCCCCTGGCGCGTTTGCTCACAGAGGTGATACCATTGTCTCTTTCCCAGTTGACGGTGACTTTGCAGCGTCTGTTCCAGATTTCAGTCCTGCCGAGTTCCTCGATTGACTTGACAAAGCGGCAAACAATGTACCTTGAGATCGATGCTGTGGTTTTGAAGATCGTCTTCCATTTTTGTATCAGTTCCTTCGGCACCAAACCGTGGTACAAGTCTTGGACAGTCCAGTGGGCATCCTCGCCCTCATTCCTCCGTCCCATATCCACATCTTCCTCACCAAACAGAGTGCTTGCATGTCGAATCTCTCTGACGCCTTGAACATCGCTTCCAAAGAGCCCCAAATCACGTTGTCGGCCCTGACCTGGCACATGTGTGCTTCACTTTTATGTGCCTTAACCAGGACTCGAACCCGGCCCCTGGGCTAGACAGGGGGGGTGCCCTGACGAGTATACTACTCAGCCATTGGGCAGATAAGACGTGAGCTTAAGTTGCCTCGATTAGGACACAATTGAAAAAAATCACTGTCTTAAGAACCGGGGGGTTATACTGAGATGCCCTTAAAAACCGCAACGAGAACGCAAATACATAGAACACACTGAAGTGTTGTACCAAGATAAAGGTCTTTATTAGTTTATGATACATATAATACTATACAAGTAACTAGTGCTGAGATGAATGAGGTTGCATACCTGAAGTGTTGTACCAAGATAAAGGTAAGGACCACTTCAGGGACGGAGAGTCCACTATTTATTATAGCGGGGAGGATCGGGTGGCTGAGCTCACGTCCAGGCAGGACGGGGTGGGTTTGAGGGTACCACTATAGGTATACCTCTGGTCCTACCTACCATGACGTCACTTGTTATAGGACGTGAGCTTAAGTTACCTTGATTTAGGACAAAATTATAAATTGGTTTGTTTGTATGGTGTAGTTGGTTATCACGTCTGTCTAACACACAGACGGTCCTCGGTTCGAGTCCGAGTACAAACATTTTCCTCTATGCTCTTTTTGCACAACCCATATATCTTAGGATTAATCTTTTTGGCAGCCTACTTCTGGGGACTGCCACTTAACTTCGCACTCTTGGGTGGCAGCTGGGCTGCCAAATACATTACTTTTTCTTTTTTTTTTTTTTTTCTTTTTTTTTTTTTTAATAACAGGGTCATAACATCAGTGGTAAAACAAGCAGCGTTCTGTGGATACATTGCCTTGCACAGCTAATGCCGCCGGAGGTACTAAGGGCAGCGACGATGACATCTTCACAAAACAGCCTTCAATGTACACGGTTAGGGAATGATTTATTGAAGACGTCTAGGTAGCAGGTGAGACGCGTTTGCTCCGAGCGAAAACCTCTCATAGGCATTGATCTCCAAATGGCACCTCCAAAACTGTATGAGCGACCTACTTGAAAAAAAAAAAGTCATTAGTTTTCAATGAGACAAGACAATGTCACTACACATAACCATGACGTAGAAGATGGGAGCTTTATTAATTTAAAGTATGAGCGTTATACACAAATACGGTTCTTAGGAATGAAAAAAAAAAAAAAAAAAAAATAGTTAGGGGCCAAATAACGCTGGGTAGGCTGCCAAGTAAACAATGAATGTTATTTGGCAACTGGGCTGCCAAATAGATTAATCCATAGATTAATCCAAAACACTCACTCGTTGAAACAAAATGGTGAAGAGAGTGGGATTCGAACCCACGCCTACGAATAGACCGCGGCCTTAACGCGACGCCTTAGACCAACTCGGCCATCTCTCCAGTGGGTTTGCTGAAAAATTCACTATCTTAAGAACCGGGGGGTTATACTGAGATGCCCTTAAAAACCGCAGCGAGACGCAAATACATAGAACACACTGAAGTGTTGTACCAAGATAAAGGTCTTTATTAGTTTATGATACATATAATACTATACAAGTAACTAGTGCTGAGATGAATGAGGTTGCATACCTGAAGTGTTGTACCAAGATAAAGGTAAGGAACACTTCAGGGACGGAGAGTCCACTATTTATTATAGCGGGGAGGATCGGGTGGCTAAGCTCACGTCCAGGCAGGACGGGGTGGATTTGAGGGTACCACTATAGGTATACCTCTGGTCCTACCTACCATGACGTCACTTGTTATAGGACGTGAGCTTAAGTTGCCTCGATTTAGGACATTGCTAAGTGCTCTAGCACCTTATAAAAGAAGGAATTAGGTGACGCACGAGCCTTGATCAAGGTATCTAAGCCACCAAAGACTCTCATCTGTTTACGCGCTGACGCCTAGAGAGATGATATTGGCACTGAAAGAGTAAGAATGGCATTTGGTGTAGTAGCCCAGACACAAGAGGGTGATTTATACACATCTAAATAAATCCTACATGACCTCGTGGGTCCTTGTTATCAAAAAAAAAAAAAAAAAAAAAAAAAAAAGAGGGTGATTTATACACTGCGATATCTGGTAGAGTAGCAGGCAACGCATCCTCGACAAAGGCAGAGCTAGCTGGTTTGTTGGCAGGAATACTTATCAGCCCACGAAACAAAGCGCCGAAGGCGCTTTCTCCAACCACTAGGCTCTTTCCCAACCCAGACTGAGAAAATATCGCTTTGATGAAGCACATAAGGCAGAAAATGACACCTCACATGTCACTATGAAGCATTAGGATTACCTTACAGGTCCTTTTCATGAAAGTACTCCGAGGTCACTCTAACCATTATTGGGAAGATAGGCGGCACTGTAAGTCAAAGATAGGAGCATGATATTGCCTGAGGAGTGGTTCAATGTTTTATTTTCAAGAGAGGGCTCTACATCGAAGGTGACGACTTCTAATGAAACAAGAGCACGGCATGGATCTAGACTTGATGGCATAAGAAGGAAACTGGATCTACAATGGAAGGCTAAGGAGTTTGAAACTAACTTTCTCGAGCTCAAAGTCGAACATTATACCATAATTACAGGCTGAAATACAATATAGGAAAAACCTCCGCGTCATGATGCTGCATTTAAAGGCATCCAAAACTGAAGCAAGAGACGATACAGGGGCAGGCGAGGCAACTCCTTAGGCAGCTAGTAATAGCTGATGTAGTCTAGGGGCTCGATATGGCTCCGAGTGGCAAGCAGAGCCCTGAAGGAGTCATATGAAAGGCTAGCTCCGGACGAGTTATTTCGCTGTCGCAAGAAAATTTAATCGTCCTAAAAACCCGTTTAAATTATTACTCTGGGGACTATCATGGGTATTGCTATTGGGATTATTTGATTTGTAACTGTCAATTGAGGAAGGACAACAAAGAGGGGTTATGGATTGAAGATGAAGAAATTGGCCTAGCAAAGGATTGCGAAAATTCGTTTAGAGCAATTAAAGAGCCTTTCGTAGTGTAGTCAAGGTTTACTAGCGACGCGTTATTTCGGTTAGTAGTTAGTGAACCGCCGGTTGAAATAAATGAAATTACGGCTTGGTACATTGGTGTGAACCACTGACATCCCTTTTTTTTCAGCGACGATGTGCAAAAGCAGGGTCGCCACTGGCCTACGTGACAGGCTGACCGAGCTCTCTTGGGCAAATGAAACAAAGGCAGGCTTTTTCACTTTTTTTTTTTTTTTTTTTTTTTTGTAGTATTATTATATTACTAAAATAAGGTATACAGTCCTCGTCAGAAAGTCGTTGACAAATATACTTTCAAGATTTTTAAATCAGATAGAGTTTCCTCCATTCCAGACAATCAGCCACCAAATCACGACTTTCTGGCAGGAACTCGATATTCAAAAACGACTTGTTTCTACAGCGTATTCTATTGCACCCATACCTCCGCCCAAAATAATGACAATTGGTGCAGGGATATCCAAATATCCCGAGGCTACAAAAGCTGCACTGGCAATCACAACATGGTAGCCACTGTCTCCACCCAACAGATTCGTCTGGATCCACAGCAGCCATGTTGCGGAAAACACCAATCCTAGCGCACAGGCGTTAACACCTCTGAACACCATTTTGACCGAGGGATGCTCGCGAACAGATTGCCAGAATGGAATGATTGCGTTCTTGAGGATAAGGCCAGGAAAGAAAATAGCCAAATAGCCTAGAATTGCTCCTGGGATACCACTCCGACCAGCATTGACCATGGCAACTGCGCCCAAAAAGCATGCAAAATTAAAATTAGGCCCTGGCATTGACTGAATAAGAGCGAGTCCCACAAGAAATTGTTGATCCGTCATCCAGCCAGGGTCAACCATGTATGTTCTTAACAAAGGGATGATGACTGGGCCGCCACCGAAAATGATGGAGCCCGTAAAATAGAATGTTGCGACTAACGGACCATACTCTGCAGTTTGAGAGATAGGCACGAGGGCGCGGACGAGGATTGCAGCGATAAGGAGGGCCAAAAACACCAAAAAGAAGAAGAAGCCTAGTTTTTTCGAATATGAGAAGGCCTTTCGTGTGGTGTCGTGCTGCTAGAGAAATGGGCGAAGCACGAGTGTTAAGGTTTGTTTAAAAGTCATATTTTTTTTCTTTTAAGAAAATAGAGTATACCTTGATGTCATCTAAATATTCTTCTGTTTTAGAGGCCCCTATCTTTTCTCGACTCCTAATTGAACCTTTGATGCTGGCGGGTTTTTGTACACTGACTTCAGATTGCACCAACTCAACATCGCGAGGTTCACCGCAGCCATCTGTAGTTTCAGAATTAGATGGCACCTTTGCGGTCTCCCCTTTCTCCACATCTTTGTCTACGGTTAGTAGCTCCTTTCCCTTGGGCTTGGTTTTCTGTGCTTTCCGCTGGCTACCAAACGGTGCCAAGAACGCATCAAAGATATAGCTGACAACGCCGCCGGCAATCATCACGACAGGCAACAGCCATGGTGCAGTATAAAGAGCTGTAACGCCGCCTGCTACCAATGCCAAAACCCTAGTCAATTTATCCGTGGCTAGCGTTGTCGACATTCTGTACGCAGCAAGCCCAACTAATCCCAGTGCAGCGGAGGCAAGCCCCTGCTCCAGCCGCGTTGCCCATAAAGGGATTTCCCCTTTAATACTACCGATTAAAGTTCCTACGACAGTCATTACAATGGCTCCTGGAATACTATAAAAAAATAAAGATAGTTAAATTCGGTTTAAGGGGCATGTCTGGAAACCTAAAGACAGCTGTGATTGTACCTCCAAAGAAGAAAGGCTACAATGGAGCAAAGAAAGCCAGATCGGACAAGTGCCAGGCTATAGGCTAATTCTGTGCTTGCTGGCCCAGGTAGGGCCTGACAAATAGCGAAAAGCTCTGTAAATTGCTCGCTGCTAATCCATTGGCGCTTGACAACGATATCATCATAAAGGATGGCGATATGGGCTGCGGGGCCTCCGAAAGTCGTGTAACCAAGCTTGAAATAAGTTTGGATTGTTTCAGTGAGGCGATCCCTTAATGGAGGAAAAGATGCCATGAGTAAAGAGAAATGAGCTGGCGGGACCGCAGCAATAGAGAGAGAAAGAGAGAAAGAGAGAGAGAGAGGGAAAGGAGAGAGAATGAACTTGGTGGGAGAGAGATGAGCGATTCAAGAGGACAATGGAGTCAACATGGAGTGCGAGAATAAAATGTTTAAATAACATTTTCAGGCAAACAAACTTTCCGTGTTTTTCAGATGCAACGTGCGTTCTCTCCGACACCTTGTTGGCATGAGAGCCAAACATCTTTTTTTTATGAGCTAAAATGTTCCTTGGAGCATTAATTTGACGCAAAATGAATTTAGACTTCAACACCCTGGAGGCTTTAGACCATTATGAGTACCGCTGTGGTTAGACAAAGTTGGCAGACACCATCCTTCACGCAAAGAAAAACGATCCTTTCTTTTTTCCATTGCCTTCCATCATTCTAGAATTGCGTGATAATGGCATCGATTGACTCAGTATCTAATACTCAGACCCCTTGTCCGCATCCAGATAGATTCTCGTCACTACGTTCCTGCTCAGACTCAGTATCTTCACATACTGGTGACAGAAGTAAAGCCAATACTCCGTCGCCTACCAACGCATCGATCACAGGCCGATCCAAGGCGTCGGGGCCATCTTCGTCCTCAAAACACTCAAATAGCTTTATAGCAGCAGTTGTTGAAGGCCGTGGTACCAGAGCGGAAGTTGGCTTATGCATTTGCGATCTTAAGACAAGCGAGGTTGTTCTTTCACAGGTAGTCTAAAAGCGCTATTACATACATTTCCTAAAGTTCATCCTAACTTAGCAGAAAAAAGCAATGATAGATTGTTCTACCAATTTCTAATAGTTAGCTGATTCCTCAACTTACGCGCTGACACTGGCAAAACTGAGCGTCCATGCGCCCTTCGAGGTAAAATGGAGCCTGTGTCACAAACTTATTGACATACCACAAGATTATTATAGTCTTTCTAATGATTGCTTAGTAGATCCTGGTCCCCGCAACAGCAGTAGGCCCGGTAAAATCCAAGCTCGTCGTTGCTATTGAAGAGTATTTGCCATTCAGTACGATCACGCCAGTTTCGCGACAGCTTTTCAGCGATACAACCGGTAAAGCTAAGCTTATGCGCGAGGTCTAAGTACCTTTCACCTTTTTTTTAGTAAAATAACATATTTTTGCATTGGCAATGGTTACAACAGGTTTACAGTACATCCAAAAATACAATGTCAAAGAGGATTCCGCGTCTTTACTACTTGGAATCCCGACGAAGTACTTTTGTTTAGCCGCTACTGCGGCCGTCTTTCACCATATTGAGGAAATGCGCAATGCAACTTTCTTGAGTCATTCAGTCCTATTCAAGTACCAGATCTGTTCGGAATTCATGATCATGGACTGCACTACCACTAAAAATCTTGAGCTCACTGTCAATTTATCAGGTCGAAATGACAAAGAGACGCTGTTTGGGGTTCTGAATGAGACGTTGACCCCCATGGGGTCTAGATGTTTACGAACTAATATCTTGCAGCCGCTCTGCGACCAGAAAACTATCAATACGCGCCTAGATTGCGTCCAAGAGCTTTCTCAGAATGAAGACACATTCTACGCCCTTAAAACTGGACTCAAAGCATTTAGAGACACTGACCATCTTATCACCTCGTTTATTCAAGTACCAACTAAGCCAAGTATCAAGCACTCAGAGCAGAGCGTCAATCGCATCATTAATCTAAAGCATACATTGCATTCCTTTGCTGCCGTTACAGAGGCATTGAATCCATGCAAAAACAGACTTCTAAAGACAATCCATCGGCTTTTGAGCGATTTTCGTCTAGCCAAGTTTATGGAGCTGATCGATAATGTCATCGAGCCAACTGTCGTTTTAGAAAAAACTGCCTTGGGACTCCGAAACCAACGATGTTTTGCTGTCAAAGCTGGATATAACGGGCTCCTTGATGTTGCGCGCCAGACTTATAAGGAAGCAATTAACGACATTTTTGATATAGTAAACCGCTATGTAGAGGAGTATGACATTAGCCTCAAAATCCAATTCAGCGTAACGATGGGATATTATCTCTCAGTGACAATGGACCAGCTCACAGGGGCCGAGCTACCACTAGCATTCATCAATGTTGTCAAGAAAAACAAAACTTTAACATTCACGACACTCGAGCTTGTCAAGAAAAACGCCAAGATTAATGACTCCTTGATGGAAGTCTACTTGATGTCCGATAAGATCGTCAATGATCTTTCCAACGAGATCCAGTCTGACATCGTGGCCCTCTACAAAGCTTCGGAAGCCATCGCTTTGCTAGACATGATATTGTCATTCGCTCATCTGTGTACAGTGAGGAATTATGTCCGACCAGATTTTGCAGATACTCTCGTCATTAAGCAAGGCAGGCACCCGGTAGTTGAAAAGATCCACTCAACACATTTCGTGCCGAACGATACATATGTTAGTGCGGCAAATACATTTCAAATCATTAGCGGTCCGAATATGAGCGGCAAATCGACTTACCTGCGACAAGTAGCTCTATTGACGATTATGGCCCAAATAGGATGCTTGTAGGCCTTTGATATCGGTTTAACAATACTTGTGGTTATTTAACGGTATCCGTGATTACCATATCTGATCTTTTTTTTTTGTTCTCACCATTAAAGTGTACCTGCTGAATATGCTGCTTTTCGAATTACAGAACAGGTATGATGCCTACAAATTTTATTTTGACCGTTATTTAATGATATCGTTGCCTTAATAAAGATATGTTTTTGCTCTGTCATAGCTTTTCAGTAGGATCTGCAGTGACGATAGCATTGAGCTCAACGCATCAACCTTTATGCTCGAGATGAAAGAAATGGCTTATATCCTTCATAACGTCAACGAGAAGAGCCTTGTCATCATTGACGAACTTGGTCGAGGTAGGCTATTGAGTTCGTTACGCTGAAACATTTACTCAGTACCTCCTGATCATGAACTCTTTAATACATTACGGATAGGAACATCCACGCATGATGGCCTCGGGATAGCGTTTGCAGTCTGTGAAGACCTGATTCACTCCCGAGCCTTTGTATTCTTTGCCACTCATTTTCAAGAGTTAACAAGAACACTAGCCGTGTATCATAACGTTGCCAATCTGCATCTGGAAGCTGAGGTCAGAGATATCAAACTCAGAAGGGGTCCCGGTAACCTGTATTATATGCAAATGGCATGCTTATCAAACAAATATATTTTCTTATTCTCTGTATTTTAGATATCAGGTGTTTGTAGTACACCTCGAGTCGTTTTCAAGTATCATCTAGCCCAAGGCTATGCAAAAGAAGAACATTATGGCAAGCTCTTAGCATAGAAAATCCTTGTTGCTCTGCATTATGGGCCAATAATAACTTTTTTTTTTTTATTTTTTAATATAGGCCTCTCTTTGGCAAAATCTCTTGATCTCCCACCTGATATCATATGTCGTGCAGTACAAGTCTCGGTGGGTTTGGCCAGCCTTCAGGAGAAAGCACGCCAAGGGTCTGAGAGCGAAAAAGTTGTTGCTCGTCGACGTGTCCTGGCTCAGGTTAGGATTAATATTGAATACTGTGTATTGTTATGCTTCGCTTGCAGATCTTGAACGTCGAGTAATTTGTTTAGATGGTTAACGAGTGGTCTTTTTAGATTGCTCACGAAGTCGTGCTGATTCAACAGGTATCAGAGCGTATGTCCCAGAAGGAGCTCATATTGGCGTTGCAGGACACACAGCAACGAGCCATCGCGCAGATGCTTGCGATCCGTGGGCGGGGTTGAGAGCAAAAGTAACACACGACATTTGCATAAAGCTAACTAAAGTTCCAAGGGTTGCAATCGACAAATCACATTCCACGTAGCATAAACCTAAATAAAATATTCTGGCTCGACAGAACCAATTTTCATCTCATTTCACCATTTTTCACCACTAACGGCAATCAACGGAAAGAGTATCCTACATGGCATATCTCAGCGATTTTGTCAAGTCAACTCTTTCCAGGGTTGTTCTCGGCAAAGAAATCCCTTCCTTTCCGTACACAATTGGCGAGCGCATTGACTCATTTGATTCCACTATTTGGTCATTACACAGAGGCATCAAACGAGTAAGAGGATGCAGGAAAATGAGGTCGAAAGGCTATTCGGCCCGGAAAAATCAATTGTACTCTAGTGACATTGAATTCTTAATATGCAGACATTATGTTCGATACATTTCTTCTAGGAGGATAATTCTCCAGTGTCAATTCTATGCTTTGACTGTGTCCGCCAACGCGACAAACTACCACTTGCAAGGAATGCCTTCAAAAAGTTTCGAACCATTCGCCATCCTGATCTGATCAAATACATCGATGGTGTAGAGGTACAATTGCTACTCCATGGCGGCATGAATAGAAAATAGAGAGACATAGAGACACAAACAGAAGAGCCATTGATTTTAAGAACCATGACATTAGCCGGCTGTTAACCATTCTATTATTCAATATTTAGACAGAGTCGCACATTTACATTGTCACAGATGCTGTCACACCTTTAGAGACTCATCTCCGTGCCAACATTAATCCCAATTTGATCCGCTGGGGCCTCTACAAAGTTGCTGTATGTCTGGCTTTTTAGGCTTTCCAGGTTATCCATGTCGCTAATCAATTTATCAGCCAATTCATCACAGTTCGCAATTCTTCGATAACAATACAATAGAACGTTTTAAGATTTCTAACTGTTGACGCCTCATTTATTCATGGAAATATCCGGACCTCATCTATCTTTACCACCAAATCTGGAGAATGGAAAGTTGGAGGGTTTGAAGTGCTTTCCTCACTCAAAGAAGATCAGCCTGCTATTCTGGTAAGTTGTGGATAGTGTCCATCAAAAGAACCCACATTTATGTACCTGATTTTGGTCATGGATTTCTACTGAGGCTCCATGTTCTCGCTCGCAATAGACTTTTGCAGGATTAATTCCAGATTCTAATCGCTATGCTCCACCCGAAGTCAAGAAGAAGTCGTGGAATGTTGTGAAAGAGTAAGTCAACGAAGTGTTTGATTGTTGGTGAGCTAAAAAAAAAGAAACTGACGTGGTGCTATTGCTTCCATTACCCTATATTATAGATATGAGTTGTGGTCAACGGATACTTGGCACTATGCATGCTTAATCTATGAAGTTTACAATGGAGCTTTCACTTCTCCAGATCAGCTCATGACGCCAGGACAGATTCCTGCAGAGATGGTGCCATTTTATAAAAACCTGCTTCGACCGGACCCCAAGACTCGGCCCAGTGTCGGCGACTTCTTGGACAAGGGCTTGCAGGCAAAAGGATTTTTTCATAATGATCTTGTGCAAGTGGTTCTCTTCCTTGAGAACTTTTCTGTCAAAGAGTCTCTGCAGAGGGATACATTCCTCAGGAAATTAGATATGCAGATCGATAGATTTCCACAAGAATTTTGTCGATACAAGATTTTACCAGAGTTGATCCATGCACTCGAGTATGGGTCAGGTGGAGCCAGAGTTTTACCACCGATTGTAAAGATCGGGGCAGGGTTAGATGAGCAAGAGTACGAAACTTTGATAAGCAGTGTGCTCGTGAAGATGTTTGCGTCAACAGACCGTACCATCCGCCTGAGTTTATTGGAGAACTTGGGTGGCTTTATTAACAGGATTAACAAGAAAGTTGTCAACGACAAGATCTTTCCTAGCATGGTAGGCTCAATACGCCGTGTTAATGTATTGAGATAAACGGAGGATGTAATCTTTATCAGCATTCTTACTATCTTTTTTTTTTTTTTTTTTTTTTGCATTTTAATAGGCATTGGGATTCACAGATACGGCACCTATTATCCGTGAGTGGACGGTAAAATCGGTCTTGTTGATTATTAACAAGCTATCTGACAAGGTTATCAACTACGATTTGCTGAGATACCTCGGCAAGCTTCAGACAGATGAGGAGCCGGGTATTCGCACCAACACAATCATCTGTCTCGGAAAGATTGCAAAATACCTTAACGACAATACTAAGGGCAAGATTCTTGTCCCTGCATTCACACGTAGTTTGCGTGACCCATTCGCTCATGCTCGCATTGCGAGTTTGATGGCTTTGAACGGTTAGACGTGTGTCTCGTTGTGTGAAATCATGAGGCAGTTATTGTAATACTTGTGTTTCATTCATCTTTTTTGTAATTTTATATATTATAATAGCCACGTCAGAATCCTATGACAAGAATGATATCGCGGTGCGAATTATACCCTGTATCTCACTAACACTCGTGGATACCGAAAAGTAAGCAAATATCAGTATGATACATCTTTCACTGGAAATGCTACGTTTTAGAATCTGAAATAAGTTTATTGACTAGTTGCTGTCGGATTTCTTACTGAAACTAAGAATTGTGCGTGTGCAAGCACTGAAATCGCTGGATACTTTCATAAAGCGGATCGAGAAGTTGATTGAGAACATGGTATATTTTAAAGGCCTTTATGTATTGTAAAGTCACCCGTACAAAGAAATCGATTTTGGTACTAATCACTCCTTCCCACAACAGCCTGATTCAGCCATTGTCGATGCAGGTAGAGACAGTCCCAATGGAGGGTCACGCTCTGCCACACCATCCACACCTTCGTCCGAGACCTGGGCTGGTTGGGCAGTGTCATCCATCACTAAAAAACTTGTCACTGGTGAGATGCAGCCTCAAGCCGTTTCTCCTCAGCTCGGAAATGATAGTCCATCGTCTGCCAACATAGCACCTTCTACTGGCAATGGTATGTCCTTGTCCAGCGCATCGAATTCGTCCAATGGCTTACAAATCGCTGCGCAAGGTGGATATGCAGGCGCAAGACCAGCAGATGGATTTTCTGTAAACCGATACTCCTCCGCATTAGCAGCTATTGAGAAAGACGAGGCTACTAATAGTGGCGGATTAAGTGGATGGGGTGACGGGGATGAAGATTTATTTGCAGACGAGGGTTTCGAGCCTATGGAGCCCACCACACCTTCACCAATGGTTAGCTCAGGAACAATCAAGCCTACAACTTCGACCACTATAACCAAGCCTCTGAGAAACGCAAATTCAGCCATGTCTCTGGGGCCTAAACCTTCAGCCCGACTTGGTTTTGGAGCTGTAGACGATGGCAGTACAGGTAAACTTAACTTTTGTCTTTTTATTATATTTTTTTATTCTTATTTTTGTTTTTATGAACAAAAAATTAACATGTATTGCTCCTTTGGTCACCGTTCACTTTAGACGCATGGGATGGTGATGATGATCTATTCAAGAACTTAAACTTGAGTAATGGTGGCGGTGGAAGCACCAGCACTGGTGCTAGCAGACCTTTGTCCTCATCCCTGAAACCGCTCAGCAGATCATCATCTACATCCTCGAACTCTATAACAGCATCATCCTTTACAGGCACGACGCCAGCCTCTGGGACTGCCGGCTCCGCACGCAAGGAAGAAAAGATGGCTGAGCTCGCACGGAAACGAGAGGAACGTCGTCAACGGATGGCCGAGGCCAAAGAGCGGAAAGCACAATCCACACTAGGCGCGAAGAAAATATAGCGAAAATAGTGATAGTTTCTAAAAGTCAAAAATAATGCCTTTCCCCCACTTATTATTGATTACTACTCATTAACACATACGTTAAATGGACAAATAGTATGTAGGATGATGACAAATGTTTTTTTTTTTTTTTTTTTTTTGTGGTTTTCTCTATCGCCGCTCTATCTCAGCGTCCTCACCCTCAAGGCGTCTGGCAGCTCCACCTAGGACGCCAGTAGCGGTTCCGCTAGCCTCCGCCTCTTCATGGTCATCCTCCAATTTTTCTTCCGCATATGCAGGCAGCCCTGTAGCCTCAATGACGCTCTCATACGTTGGAAGGCCAGCTTCTGTCTCTCCTGCAGCCTGTGCCAGCGTCGAAGCGTCCACGAGCGCAGTCGAAACCACGCGTACAACTCGTACAGGGATCTCTTCTGTTGCGACTGAGCATGTGTATGAGGAAGACGCAGATCCTGTGGATAAAGCCGACAAGTGCACAAGGTTTTTCGGCCTGGAAAGTAAAGATGGTGGTGGCGGAAGGTCTAAAGGCTGGCCGGAATCTTGCACAACTGGGGAAATATCGGTATAGACTTGCGTTGTTGAAGAACCAGTGTCATCACCATCTGTGAACATCTTTTTTTCATCTAGTTTCCATACAGGCTGCTCAAGCTCAAGGTCAGCTTCACTTTCAGACTCTATATGGGCAATTGATTCTGTACCATCGGTTTCTATTGCATCGCCTTCCTGGTCCCATAGTGATGGTAGAGAATGCTGTTGCTGTTGCTGCTGATATTCTATTGCGAGTTGTGACATTTGCAGTTGTTGTTCCTCCTGGGATAATTGTTGTTCATCCTGTCGTTGCTCCCGTTCTTGGGGAGCAGGCTCCTGTTGTTCTTCTGAAGGTGCTATAGAAGGAGGTACGACGATATACGACTCATCATCAGCTGTATATTCGACTTCGACTCTAACTGTGTGGCTGATTTGAATCCAATTACTCTGCACATCCACACAAAGGTCGGGAGAAAGGACTAGCTGAAAATTTAAATTTTGAGTCTGTAGTTCTGATGTTGGCTCTTCGAATTCAACCTCAAGCGGCTGTGCAATTGCGCGGGTTAAGAGCCGAGGTGCTGGTGGTGGTCCTGAAGTGCTAGGAGCAGGTTCTGGTACTGGTGAACGGGCATAGCCCCATGGAGGTGATGTTGCTGAAGCAGAGGGATGAGTAGGCGTTGCGGGCGAAGCAAGAGGTACGATGGCCTTAGGTATGCTTATTTGAGGTGATGATGTTCGCTGGTATCTATTTTTAAGATATATAAAAAAAGAATATATATTAATAGTGTCATGATAAATAACCCAAAAGAATAAGAAGACTATGAACCAGGGCAAGTCCATTGAACGGGTAACGCATTCTTTTCATACCGATCTGTCTCAATTTGTTCAAATACGACTTTAGCCTTGCGTAGCTTGACATTCCGTGTCCTTGGCTTTGCGTACAGCTCCACGGCCAACAGCGTATTTTCACAGTGTAGCAGCCTAGGTACCTTGATCTGGATCTCGACTCCACCGCTGTCTAACCCTTGGACGACTCTGGGCTGCAAATAGGATGATGGATAGACAATCCTGTGGATTAACACGGGTCGACGTAGGATAAAACGTTCTGTTAATGCATCGGCGGTACCCTGTGCAATGGTGATCTCCAAGCTAGCTTGAAGTTCGTATCGAATCTTGCCAATTGCTAAATCAGTACTATCTGGCAGATGGCCTGGTAATGTCAGATCAATGGGTAATGATTCATGGTGCTTTGATTGCGTTTTATTGCTAGCTGTAGCTGCTGTGGTCCTAGCAGAGCCAGTAGTTATTCCTGTTCCTGTCCCTGTTCCTACTTCTCTTCCCGCTCTTATTTCTACTTCGGTTCTAGTCTCCGCTATAATTTCTGTCCCTGCGTCTGCTTGCGGTTTTGATGCTGATATTGTCATTTCTAGTCCTTTATCCGCACTCGTCCCTACGAGCACATCAGTAGATGATGAAGGTGCATGAATAGGCGGTGGACCCAAAACTAAGGGGGTGGGGATATAATCATGGGTATGATGAACAGGTGTTTCTGTCGTCAGCGACGATCCCTCTATGCCTGATTCATATCGAAGAACGACAGTATCCTAAATATATTACAGCAAAAGTTGAATGCCAGTTTATGAGCAAGAGAGAAAAAAAATATGAAAAAAAAAAGGTTGTCGAGTGTCAATAGCACGTTCATCATCTCCCCGACTGTTTCTTCTATGTCCTCCCCTATAATACACGATATGTTACTTTACCGCATATCCCATAAAGTCTATCCGGGCATCTTTAAGTAGTATCTCCGATTCACTGACCCAGTCCAGGCTGATGCTACCCTTGAGAGAATACTGGAAGCTATCGTTGGATCGATCGTAGATCTCAATTGTATCTGACTCGAGTTCGAGAGCGGCTATCAAGCCCCAAGCGGTGGTGTAGGAATCAGGTACAGATAAGTTAACAGGGGGAAGTTGGTGTGGGTTCTGGAACAGACGGCATTGGGGTGGTTGGTAACCAAAATGCGGTTGTTGAGAAGAAATGGTGATCACATCCTCTGTTGTTTGCGCTACAGCAGAATAAGGTGGCTCTAAGTCATGAATTTGTGGCCGACCATGACCTGGGTCGAAAGTAGTATTAGTAATATGATGAATGTCAGAGTAGGATGGGGTTCTTTCCTCGGAGTATGCATTTTCCGCAGCGTCTTTAGGTTGGTAGGTACTTGACATTGGATGAAGAAGGAAGAGTGGGGTGGTTAAATGTCTGTATTATTTTTTGTTGATGTATATTGCAGATGTTGACTTTTGTTCTTATGTGAGCAATGGTGAGTGTCAATTCTTAAAATCCTTTATCGTTTAGTGCGTATTGAGTAAAAAAAAAAAAAGCGTGCAACAGTGCAACAACAGCGCAACAGTAAAAGTACAGAGTTGTGTGCTATTCATTATTGGCGAGTAAAGTAACGGAGGCGTGCTTGCAGCTTGATCCTTTCCTAACGCATATTTTCGCAGGCTATTTTTTTGTCTAACCCTAAATCGTAATCATGACTCTTATCATGGATGCTTCCAGCATGCTTTCTCGCCTTGAGTTCTGTTGTAAAGCACATATTTCTCAAAGATTCACGTTTTTGTTGACGCGTTGAGCTCCGAAGCACAGCCACGCATCACGCCTTGTGACCGCTTTGTGCGTGTTTATGAATGTTTACATGTTCTCTTACCCCATAGCAACTTGTTCTCCGACGACTCCATTCGACATGCCACTGTTACCTTTTAGCCATATTATCTGCCACCCTACCAAGGATGTTATTGTCTTATCCTTTGGCGAGCACCTACAAGCCGTTGATGCCAAGTAAAAAAATAAAAAAAAAAAAAAAAGAAAAAGAGAAAAATAAAGAAAAAGAATAGGAAAAAAGAAAGCGGTTGCAGGAGGCTGGATATGCTTTCGATAACAAGGGCAAAAAATGACACATATTCATAAACGACATTTTGCATTGTATCAAATACAAAATACAAAATTTTTAAAAAAAAAAAAATATCCATAGAAGCGGACTGATAATTGCTAGTACTGTCGAATTGGAGGAACGCGATTCAAGGGGCTTGCAACCTCAGCCCATCACCAATACACCTGATGCTGCTCAGGAGAACAAGGCTTGTGTGCAGGTCCTTGCTTTCAGTCCGGATGGCGCATATCTGGCAACAGCTGCTGATGATAAAATCTTGAAGATCTGGGATACAGAGTCATGGAAATGTCTTGGAACAAGGTCAGAGGTTAACTTCTTTATTTATTTTATTTATTTTTTTTTAGAAAAAAAAAAAAAAGAGAGAGTAGAATGGATTTTATTCAGAAATTAATTTAATCGAGATTTTTTTTTTTTTTTTTTTTTTTTTCGAATAGAACACTCGTTCGTCGTTCTAATGCTCTCCAGTTCAGCAAGGATGGAGCTCACGTTGTCACCGCTGATAAATTTGGAGATGTTTATAAGTAAGTCTCGCAGTCTGATATGACTGTAGCTCTGAATGAAATGATCAAGTCTTTTAGTAGTATTGTGACATTGAATGAAAATGAGAGTAGTGTTGACACAGCCGTTGCTTGCATCACATAGTATGGTCCGTGATCTGCCCGATGTCATTCCTATAAAGACAAGTGATACCAAAATCACAGACGATGGTGATGATGACGATGATGACGATGAGGGAGAGCAACCCATCCTTGGACATGTCTCCATGGCAACTGATCTTGTAAGGCTGCAGTTGTATGTTATGACTTGTCTTTTCCAACGCTCGGATAAGGGCCTACTCTGCTGACTCTTTTTTTTTTTTTTTTTTTTTTTTTCTAACTTTTCAACTCGCATTCGGATCAGGCTTTGACTAAAGATAACAAGTATATCATTACCTCAGATCGTGATGAGCATATCCGTGTCAGTCAATACCCTAAGGGCCACAACATTGAGACTTATTGTTTGGGACACACGAGGTAGAGGGCAATTTAGAAGGAAACGATCGTTTTTTTTTTTTTTTTTTTTTTTTTTTTTTCAGTGCTTCTAAGATGGAGCAAGATAGATTATATTAATTCAGGCGGCTTGTTGCATTTATAGTTTTGTGACCAAAATTATGGTCCTACCAGGAACAGAGGAAACTGAAAAGTATTTGCTTTCTGGAGCTGGCGATGCCACGATCCGCGTGTGGGAGTTTCTGAAGGGCAAAGAGATCCAAACATTCGATATCCGTGAGGCATTAGGTTTGCCCCCAGCAGAAGAAGATGCTGAAGAGGATCTGACAGTCTTCTCGTTTTCCATCTGTAGTATCAAGAAGCATATTGCTGTCATCATGGAAAAGTAAGAACTTGGTCGTTTAATTTTCTTTATACTCCAAAGCAAGGAAGGCACTAAGCGGCTGAGCAACCGATACAGCCACTCACCTTGGCCATTCTTTTCTCTACTCTATGGTAACGTACCTCATGATCTTGTAGAGAGTCTAGATTATTGATCTTGCAGTGGAATGAGGAAGCAGCCAAGGTTGAGCTGTTCAAGATCCTAGAGCTCGAGGGAAAGCCATTATCTGTTGAATATGACCGCTCAGGAAATTTGTGGACGTCTGTTGTCCCAGAAAAAAGCAAGACCGATCTCGTCTCCGTGTTCAACAGGGAGTACATGCAGCAGGAAGATATTACAAAATATATCAACGTCTTTGGTTCGAAAACTGTTCAAACTATTCCAGATCTGTTCAACACTGAAGAACTGAGAAAACATACGACTGACTGGCGCGAGTTAAAGAAGGCTCGCGAAGAAAAAGAGGCAGCTCGTTTGGCAGGAGATCCTGATGCACCATTATCCAAGAAGAGAAGAAAGAACAAAAATTCCAGAAAGATTCCTGAAACCACACCAACAACTTCAGCATAAATAAATCTTTTTTTTTCTGTATTTGTAATTTTGAATTATCAATGTTCTATCCAGCAAAATAGTCTTTTTTTTTTTTTTTTTTTTTTTTTTTTTCGTAGACGATTTTTCTTTATTTTGTTACTGTAGGAAGGTTCAAGGGAGTGGAGCAAGAGGGGAAGGTTACAGAGATGAAGTAGTCTTAAAAGAGAACCACTTTAAACATTGTGCTTGTGATCCTCCTCAGCAGCCCTGATGAACTCGCGGATGAAGGCTGCCTCGTCCTGGGAAGAAGCATGAATGACGTTAGCAGGAGCCTCCTTTTTAGTCATCTTCGAGGCAATGATGGGGGTTGCAACGGCAGCATAAGTGGCAAGGGCCAACTAAAGATATAAACAGTGAACAGAATAGAAAAAAAAATGCGTTAAGTGAAAGGCGGCTCAGTTGAGAGGACATATTGAGCTAACTCAAGGGTGTACGCTTCAGATAATAGTAACGTTGCATCCACTGTAAGTATAGCTATTATTTGTCCTGCTTTCATGGAGCATGATCTGTCATATTTCATATTGCATATAGGACATGTGTATTTTTGTGGACATGTTCAAGAGTTTGAGACATTGCACATTAATTGGATCATCGAGAGAGGATAACAACCGCTCTTCCAGAGTTCTTTTTGATGCTGCATTAAGGGTTGGAGTGTCAAGCATCTTTTTTTTTAATAAAGTGCTACAGATTGTGATCCGAGATTATCCGTTGAGGTTGATCCATGTTGTGAAAAGCAAAAAAAAAAGATCACAGTAGTAAGTGATATTATGGGAAGAGAGAATGAAAGAGAGAACAGGAAAGATACCTTGTAGGTGGGGACGGCACGACCAAAGACAATGTATTCAGCTCCCATGGTGATGGTTTGGATGGATGAATGAAGGATAAGTTTGATGGATGGAGGATTGGCCCTGACATCATCCTGTCACCGCTTTATTTTCGTCACGGTAGTTAAGGGTTTTAAATCAAGCCACACAGACGCGTCTCGAATCAGTCTTGACTATGGAAAAAATATTCGTCCTCGCATCCACATTTCTCTGTCTCTCTATCTGCCTTGCTTACCACAACTGGGAGCCGTATTTCTCAGTGATATTCCCACCTTTCTTTATTTCCCTTCCCAATGTGCCACTTCAATCATTTAACCCACTTGGGCAGGCTCCAGAACTCAAGGGAAGGAAAGTCCACAACAGATTCTTCCGAATAACCCACCCCAAGGTACCATGGGCATATCGGAAGGCGATGGGCACTGGTGTTCGCTACTACTTCATCTACTTATCTCTTTCTTTTGAGCTTGAACCCTTCACATCGTCATATGGCTAGATAGAGGAGCTATTATCAACTCCATAGCGCTTTCATGCCTATGGCATGTCACTTCAATGCATTATTCCTTCATCATTGGGTAAGGCAAACGAAAGCCTCTATTTAGAGCATTATCCTCCTTTCCCTAAATGACCTAGTTGAGAGTGAGCTAAGGCTAGTTATGATTTTAGACACATGAGCACAAGTAGTTGGCTATCAACTTCGAAGGCCGCTATTGACGATAGAACATATGAGGCTACTATGGCAATATCCCCTTGTAGTGAGCGACAAACGTATTTGAAGATGAGACATTCAGTATGAACGCAAACATGTGGTGTCATATAAAAAGTATATGCTGTTGGAAAATAAACATTTGCACAGCATCTGCTTGTGGTTACACAAGTTGGTCATGACAATTTTTTTTTTTTTTTTTTTTTTTTTTTTTTAATTGCAAGAGCTGCCGTTAAAGCAATGGACATTAAAAATGATTTAATTTATTCTTGAAAATGAAAAGAACCTGATGCTTATCATACTTCTGTTCTTGAATGCAAAACGAATGCATCTAGACGTGACCCACAATCAGCATCATAAACTTCCCAGATCAACCGACGATCGCCAGTGACCTTCATGAGGACATAATGGTGTCGAAACTTGGTCTTGCCAGCCTTCCAAACTGAATAATCCTCGACTTGCTCTGTGTCTAATGCGCCACCGGCACCACCAATGACAGTATAGACCATGTAGTCATCTTGACCACGCATGTAATTGTGTTGATGGCCCGAAATCACCAGGTCAACATTATGCTGCTGAAATAGAGGTACATATCGTGTTCTAACGAATGATCCCCATTGCTTTTCTCCCTTGTTCTCCCAGGCATTCTTCTCCCAGTACTGTGTGTAAGGCGAAATATGGACCAAGACCAGCCTGAACCATGCTTTTCTAGAAGCCTCTGATTTGAGCTCCTCTTCCAGCCAACGATCCTGTTCACGGCTGTCAAGGTTTGAATCAAGAACAATAAACCGAATGCCAGCAACAGTATAGGCATGCCATGTACGCCTGCCAGTGTAATGATAGAGTCCCTGAGGATCATAATCATGATTACCATGGGTGTAGATCAGAGGTGTCGTCTGACCAATTTTAAAGTACGAGAGTGGCGAAGCAAAATCTGTCTGCCAATTGTCGAGTGAATTGTAGTCCTGTACGGCATCGCCAGCATGGATAAGATAATCTATTTTGTGATGCTCTGTCATGGCCTTGAGAACTTTGATAAACTGAGCGACTTCACATTGATTGTCGGACACGGCCCCAAAGCGAGCGATCTCTCGATCAGCCAGCAGAGGTGGGTTAGGTAAGTGTGAAAATGTATAAGATCGGAAAAGGTGCGACATAGCCCTCGGAGGATTGATGGAGTAAGTGATATTACTGTTGACGGAGGGCATTCCAGAAATTGTGGCAGTGTAAACAACATGCAGTTTGTCGATAGAAAGAAAACTGGTCATGGCTTGACCGACATTCCCGATGTTGCCACTGTCCATACGATTTGACGAAGTAGAAGAGGAGGAGACCCAAGTAAGTCCCATGTCAGGCAATTTGCAGTTCATCTCCCAAATCACCAAAACTGTTGAAGTGTCCTTGACGAACAGCATCGGGTCTTTACGATAAGAACAGCGCTTGACATCCCAATTAAACGCCCAGTTCTTGATCTTGAAGCCAGCGATGGCAGACCAGGTTGACATGTCCTGAAAATAAAGATAGACCAAGAATGCGTAGAGACCAAGGCCTAAGATGATGGGGTAGCGGATTTGGCGACGCCTCCTTGGGATAAAAGAAAGAATCTTATCAATCCGGTCTGAGAGGGTGCTGTTTGGTCCATGGAGCATCATTGGATGACGGCTATGAAATCTAGCACTCAAGCCCGTCCCCGTTGCTGAAGGAGGAGTTGCAATGATGGTTGGTTGGACGTTGGTGGAGATGGGCGCCGGTGCAGGCATGCTCTGCCGTCGCTGATGTTGCCTCCCCATGCCAGTTTTGCTCGCACTGATGTTTGACATTGCAAACTATATGAGAATGTGTTGAAAAGTAGGCAGGAAAAAAAAGGAGAGGGTGAGGGAGTTCCAAAGAGAGCGCAATGTTCTCTGAAGGAATGAGAAAAAAAAAAAAAAAAAAAGATCAATACGTTCGGATCGCCATCTGCATCGTTTTCATTCATTTTGATAAACTAGTGAATAAGGTTCGGCATTTTTTTTTTTTTTTTTTTTCCTCAGATGTTGGCTCTTACCCTTGGTTGATGCTGATGAATGTGACAAGAGAAAAAAAAAAAAAAAAAAAAAAAACCAGAGATGGAGAATAGAGCGAAAGAAAGGGAAGGAGCAGTTGAACGAAAAGAACAAAGAAGGTACAGAGAGAGAGCATGAGAGCCCCCATCCTCTGGGAGATTGGTGCATGTGTCTAGTGGTCTAGTGGTACAGCAATGTCAATCTGTATGAGAAATTATCTGTGAAAGAGGCTTTGAGCCATTTAATAACATTTATTGTACTCCCAATGTGTAAAAAGAATCATCCTTATTAACTTTGTTTTTCTCTTCATAATTCATACTCACAGCTAGAGTAGATACAAGTCATCCTTCAGCTTACCACAATACCGCAATTCCCAAAGGTCCTGCTGGGGGAATGTGGCCAGATCTATGTGGGCAGTATACCCATAGAGCCTTAAAGCTGTAAAGCGATCTACTTTTGGTGGATGGGATATCAAGTACATTTTGGGCTGGATAGTTTTTCAGTTTCAGATGTATCACCTTGAGACATTTTGGTGTTCCACCACGTTGAGTCTCGGACAGAGAAAAGAGACGCGTATTTCAGACTAGGCACAACCAACGTTGACAGACTCCGCAATCACTACAATTGTGATGTTCAACGCTCGGTCCCTGTCCATTTCTTTCCCTTTGCTGTGCCTTTTTCTTTCTTTCTTTCTTTCTTTTTGTACCTTGGAAAGTAGATTGACATATGCTAGAAATAACACAGATGAAATGATGTAAACAAAGCATGATCCGCTCCTTGTCCATGTGCTCCTAGTTGGACATTCCCTTCTCTTCTAATCCTTGAATCTTTGGAATGGCCTATTTCGCGCAGAAGGTTGTCCCAAAATCAGCTCCCCCTACTTCACTCCTTTTCATATTAAATATTCATAGATCTTCTTCATCTTGTGTTGATTTCCTTGCTCCTCTTCTCTCTTTCTCTTTCTCCTGGATTTTTACCTGCCTTCCTTATATCCTTTTCGCTCTATCAGTCGTACTTTTACCGTCAAACATGTCCGTCAGTCCACAAACAGCTCTCATCATGCAGTCCATGTCTCAACCCAAAAGACGTGGTACGCTCGCATTTCCCATTCGTAACCTGCGTCGCTATTTGCACCTAATCTCCCAGCAAATCACTGTTGGTGCGTCTTTAATCATCAAACATCCATTCACGCCACCTCCTTGCCCTACATGGCCGTTACATTTGATACTTTTCATAGCCATGGTAAAAACCGCTACCGCTATGAAAGAGCATATTGCCGAGGATGTTCCGGATATTCGCAGGGCGCTCGACACATTCTTTTATTACCTGCCCAAACTGCCCCAGATGAGGATCGTGCCATTCAAAGTGCCGATCCCCACTCATGGTCGTGGATTACCCAGCATGCTAGAGCCGTTGGAACAATTAGAGACAGGCCACCGTATCGTCCCCGGTCAGTGGGTCGCAGACCGGGCAGTCTGGGATAACGTCATGGCGATGCCATTGGCTAGCTCGGCAAAAAAGTCCAAAGATCCATATGCGGCACGGGAGGGGGAAAAAATCATTTATTTTACGCATGGAGGTGGATATTTCATCTGCAGCTCCGACACGCATCGTGAGATGCTCTGGAGGATATCTAGAGCCACTGGAAGGCGTATCTTTGGTAGGGACAAAATCTTTATGGTCTTTGCTTTTCACAATATCATGTTTACGAAAGACTGATATTTTTTTTTTCCTTCCATTCGATCATACATGCATATGCTGTTGATGATGACAGCTGTGGATTATAGACTTGCTCCAGAGCATCCATACCCGGCAGCGGTACAGGATGCTTTGCATGCTTTTCTCCATTTGACCGATCCAAACGGGCTAGGGTTTAGTCCTGAGAACGTTACAGTTTCAGGCGATTCAGCAGGCGGGGGACTTGCCATTGCAATGATGATGTACCAACGCGACCATGGTTTGCCAATGCCTTCTAAAGCCATCTTACTCTCTGTAAGTTTCAACTCGGTTGGAATAGAGCTCCTAAAAAAAAAAAAAAGAAACCAAAGACAAAGTGTGGGAGAGTGACGCATTGATTGATTGAATAACAAGCCACATTCTAGCGTCCATTTGATGAAGAAGTGGATTGTAGGAATTGTGATACCCCTGGATAAAAAGAACGATATAGCATTTTAACATGTCATGCCAACTTTTTTTTTTTTTTTTTTTTTTTTTTTTTCACTTCCTTAGCCATGGCTTGATCTTACCATGACCTGCGAGTCGTGGGCCAGTGATTCATTAGACTACTTGCCCGCGCGATTTAATATGGACCATAGCTTCAATCCAATTTTATTTTATTGTTCAGGACGTGACAAGATCAAGACACTTGCCAAACACCCATACCTTTCCCCACTTTGGGGCAATCTTGAGGGCCTCCCGCCACTTTTAATTCAATGTGGTGAGGCGGAGCGGCTCCTAGATGAATGCATCCTATTCACTTTCAAAGCTGGTGGATGGTTTGGCTCATATGACAAGCTTCCATTCCAACCAGAGTCCATAGGCCGAACTCAAGATCGAAAAAAAGTAGAGCTTGAGTTGTATCCACACATGGTCCATGTTTTTCAGATAATCCCATTTCTACCGGGTACAGAACTGGCCTTACAAAGGATGTTGGAGTTTATGCAGCGCCATGAGTCCACGAAGGATGAGAAGATGCGGATGCAAGGATTGACATATAACGCGAATATCTCAGTACCAGTATCGACGCAAATTGTAATGAATGAAACATTGGGGATGATGGAGGACAGTGAAGAAGATACCTTGACCAAATTGGCATTATGTCCTTTGGATAAGCTTCCATTGCTTCTTCAATTGCACGAAGATGATGCTCGATTGGAGGCATTCGAAGGCATAAACGATATTGTGCCGTGCGAGGCATAGAAATCATATTGTTGCAGGAGTGATGTACTTGCGTCAATATACCAACTGTAGAACTGTATAGAAAGACAAGAGCGTAAAGTGCTACCTTTAAATATTAAAAAGTCAATGCGTCAACCTTTACGCGCGTTTGAGAAAAATTTATGGTTTCAAATGCTGTCTCGTGTGACAAGTGACAAGTGGCAATTTATAATGCAATTCTTTCATCACTGGGTATTGTGGGTATTGATTTAGGACTGAAAATGAAGCCATTCGACCCCACTTTGTCCATTTTGATCTAACGAAAAAGAAAAATGATCTAAACTTTTTGCTTCCTGCTTCTTGCTTCTTGTTCCCATTGTTTGTCTAAATTACGTTGTTCTACGCCGAAATGACATTTTCATTATCGAACAAAAAGGGTAAATGAATGCTTCACAACGAAGCTTTTAGGCTGTGAACTAAAAAATGCTAAAAACGACAGTTGTTTTTATTGACTTTACCTCAGGTGTAAAAGGCCTATCGGCTTTTGTTGCAACTTCCCCAGCCCTGTCGTTCAATTCGTTCAATGTCAATTATGCATGGATCACAAATAAAGTTTTATTTGTGTTCACATCCACTCATCTATCCCACTTCTTTTTTTTTTTTTTTTTTTTTTTTCCTCTTATCTCTGCTCTCCTCTCCTCCTCTCTTTTTTACTTTCATTTACCATCCATTTTCATCTATTGTAACAATGACTTCTCCCATCATTCCTCTCATCGATGACATCTCTATTCTCTATTCTGAGCCAAAGTTAGACGCTGCTCGCGCTCGTTGGGCCGACCTTGTCTCTCAGTTCGAACAACTCTATGGTCGCGTGCCTGATTTCATTGCCCGCTCGCCTGGTCGTGTGAACCTCATTGGTGAACATATTGACTATGCTGGTTTCGGCGTCTTACCCATGGCTATCGAAAATGACTGCCTAATCGCTGTCGCGGTCGATCATACCAATAACAAGGTCCAACTCGCAAATGTTAACAGCAAGAAATATCCTACGCTTGAATTCACACCGAAACCTAGACAGGAAGGCTATGTCTCTATTAATCCTGAAGAACACGTCTGGAGTAATTACTTTTCTGCTGGTTATCGTGGTATCCTTGAGGAACTTCGTATTGAACAGCCCAAGGGAATGCTTTGCCTTATGAGCGGAACTGTCCCTACAGGTGCAGGACTTTCCTCTTCTTCTGCCTTTGTCTGCTGTGCTGTCAATGCTACTGTCAAGGCTCAAGAGTCCCTACTGGAGAAGAGTAAGATGCCTTCGGCGCATGAGCTCGCCATTATTTCTATTCGCTCTGAACGTTACGTCGGCACTATGGGTGGCGGCATGGACCAAGCCTGCTCTATTCTCTCTAAACCTCAATCAGCTCTTTTCATCGAGTTTCATCCTGTCCTCAAGGTCACACCTGTCTTTTTCCCTACAACTCAGCCACCCATCGCTTTTGTGATTGCAAACACAATGGTCACCTCAGATAAGGCAGTGACAGCTCCTGTTCGATACAACCTACGAGTAGTCGAGACACGAGGCGCTGCCAGAATCCTGGCACTTGCGTTAGGTATCCCAATCCCAGCCTCAGGAAAATTGCATTTGAAACAGGTCTTGGATGCACATTTTGAGAACATTGGTTACCAAGCTGCAGGCAAGACCGAGGCGGAGGCCGAAATCGAAAAGCTGGCGGAAATGACCCAGATTGTTGAGCGTGTCTTGGGAACAGAGGAGATTCGATCCGGTATCAGCTTTGAAAAGATGTGTGAATTGGCCGATATTAGCAAAGATGAATTCACTAGACTATATATCCATCAACAGATCCGTGCGGACACATTCCATTTGTATCGCCGAGCCAAACATGTCTACAGTGAAGAGAAACGTGTAGTACAGTTTAGGGATACCTGTGAAAAATCCATGAAAAACCAGGATTTGGCTTCAGAGACTCTTTTTTCACAGCTGGGTGATCTCATGAATGCTTCGCAGGATTCTTGCCACAAACTGTATGACTGCTCATGCGATGAACTTGAAGAGCTGACGGCACTGGCGCGTCGCGCAGGCGCCTATGGTTCAAGACTGACAGGCGCAGGGTGGGGCGGTGCAACAATCTCGCTGATCACAGAGGACAAAGTACCAGCGTTTATCGCGTACTTGAAGAAGGAGTTCTATGCTAAGCACTATCCTGACCTGGGAGGCGCCGAGCTCGATCGCGCAATTTTTGCCACCGCACCCTCCAGTGGAGCTGCAACCTTTGTTGGACGCATTTAAAATTAATAATGATAATGATAAATTAAATCACGTGCATCCATTTATGTTTCACCTCTGTTTGTGTCTGAGAAAAAAGAAACTTGGCTTGTTCCTGACAATGACCAATCTTTCATTTATGCCTCCATTTTATTTTTTTTTTATTTTTCTATTCATTCTCCTAAAATTCTACATTAGCCATGGATTTAAAACGTATCAATGCTCTTATCCGAGACATTCCCGACTTTCCAAAACCGGGTATTCTGTTCAAGGACATCTTTCCATTGTTTCAGGATCCAATCGCTGTTGAAATGGTGATCACTCATATTGTGAACCATATCAATACATCCTTTGACAAGAAGATTGATGTTATTGTAGGTCTGGATGCTCGTGGTTTCCTTTTCGGTCCTATTATTGCTATGCGTCTTGGTGCCGCATTTGCCCCCGTCCGCAAGGCTGGCAAGCTTCCTGGCACCACTATCCAAGTCGCATATGAGAAGGAATATGGCACTGTAATTCAACACGCACGATTTTTTTTTTCTTTTTTTCTTTTCATCTTTCGTTTATACTGTCTTTCAGTATCCTTCTAACTTTTTTTTTATATATATTATTTTTTTGTAGGACTTATTCGAGATGCAGTGTGACTCAATTAAGCCTGGTCAGAATGTGATTGTGATTGATGACTTGATTGCAACTGGTGGAAGCGCTAGGGGTGCTCAGGAACTGATTGAAAAGATGCGCGGCAATGTCTTATCTTTCATCTTCTTGATTGAACTTGAGTTTTTAAAGGGCAAGGACATCCTTAAAGCCCCTGTCTACTCCATGATCAAGGCTTGAAATGACATTGAGAATATAGAGGACATAGAAGACGTTGAATGTTGAAAGGGTACAAGGCAAAAAAAAAAAAAAAAAAAAAAAAAAAAAAAGGCATAAAATGACATAAAAGCATTGAGTGCAAGTGCAAAATGCAAAAATAAACAAAGATATAAAATAAAAAAATAGTGAAAGCTGGCGCTGGTAGACTCTTTACTATTGCTGAAGCTGTGTCGAGATCTAAAAAATTTTATGCCCCCATCTCTACTTTTTACGAACATAAAACAGGGTATATCCATGCTCGGACTAATGGAAGATAAAAGAAAGAGAGAGATAAATATGAGAGTCATTAGTATTTCATTTCAGTGCAAATGGAACACACAAACAACCATAGCCTACAAAGATGTTGAAGAAAAAGAAAAAAAAGAAAAAAATCCTCTACCACTGCTACACTCTTGTCACATGGCGATACTCGCGAGTCATCAAAGTTAATCCAGCTATTAGGGGTCTCTCCACGGACACATGCTGTATAATGCCCACTACTGACTTCTCCTGAATGATTCGATACTGCATAGAGGTCATAGATCGCAGGTTCCGAAACTAGTCCATTTGCGCTTGGTCGCTTTGGCAGATATGGGGTTAAATCAAGATCCTGAATAGGATATTGCACCATGGTCTTGATCTTGTTTTTAAACGGACCATCGGATGAAAACCGCTTGAGCTGGATAAGCAACACATCTGGCACGCGACTGATGGTCAATTGCTTGGTCGCTTTGCGTGGTTTCTTGCAATTCGGACAATTCCATGCGTTGTCACCATCCATCACCTCTGCCTCCACGAATGTATTCAAACATGACATTAATGTTTGAGGTTGCCGTCCAGTGGTCTTTGCCTTAATTGGCAGTGCAAGGTACATAAATGCATTATAGGTAGTCGAGGTCTTGCCACATTTTGTGCAACAGAGGCGATTCTTGAACTGCCCCTGGAAGAGCTTGACCACGATCGAATTGTCCCGTCTCAGATATCTCTGCCATGCTATGTCAGAAGCCTCGTATTCTGGTAAGGATTCCATCCGTGCATCATCCGCCTCTGAGCCTTCATCATCCCCTGGTGGTGGTGGTCGAGGTTCTGCTTTCAAATCCTCATGAAGACCATCCAACAAAAACGACAAAAACTCTTGTGAATCATGCTGCTCCGTGCCTTTGAATTGGGGCGCAAATCCTCCAATCGCTAGTCGGAAACTCGTTGGCGAGACCACTAACGACTGTCCACTCCACATGCTACTGATCAGGTCATAAAACGCCTCTGCAAGCTTCCCTTGTGTTCCTAAAGGATTCTTTATATTGATGTTGCGCTTAAAGCTTCCATCCAAGAAATAACGCGAAAGGGGGGGTGTTGCAATCAAGCACTGAATGACAGAATTCATAAAGCAGGTGTTGCCCAAGTTGGTCAACCCAGTCTTTCCGAGCTGTGAGCCACCAATCTTTGAAAACCCAGAACCAAATTTGGTATAGTCCTTGAGATCATTCATTCCTGGGGGTTGTGGGAGTGGGCGCATGGGTTTGACTGGAATAGGAGGACGAGTAGCACCATTAGGTGCAGGAGCTGGGAGACCAGGTCCCGAAGGAGTGTTACTATCAGTTGACGGAGGGCCTAATATGCTTGTACCAGAAATAGGAATCTTGTCTGGGATCGGTGGCAACATTGGATTGCCTGAATGGGGTTTCTCAGACGCGCCAAAATTGTTCCAATGGTTATCATAAATGGTTAATCGTCTTTGAAGTCCTGCTGCAGATTTGTCCCGTTGACGCATGCCACCCAATTGCTGCCCCATATCCTGAGCTCTCAAATCATAAATATTATGAATTCCATTCGGTTGATTGGAAATTGTAGCGCCGTGAGAGCCGGAAGTAGGGGGAATAGAGTTGAGACTTGATGGAGGTGGGGAATAAGATGCGTTAACACTACTGTAAGGCGTTGCTTGTGGGGGATAGGCTGGGTTTGACAGGTTTGACGGATTTGATCCGATCCGCGGATTCACCATCGATTGCGGACCATCATCACGCTTAATCTAAAATCCAAAAAAGCAAGAGATATTATTATTTTATCACTTAGACGCCAATAAATTTGATCATATACCGTATAGTAAAGATGTATTTTATCCCATAAGCGACCTACATATTCCCCAATGGTCCTGCGGATAATCCTACCATCATGGCGGTTAATGCCCCCCCCTTGTGAAAGTTTAGCGAATAAAGCATGGCTTTGTGGCTGAAGACCAGGTTGGTTCTGAAGGCTCTCCCGAGAGTTAATTGAAGACACATCGCTACTATCCGATATTGGTGGTGGAGTCTGTCCAATTCGCTTTGCAGCATCCACGCCAGTACCCTTGACCCAGTTCATTCCCGCACAATCAAGCCATGCATTAAAACCACCGACTAACAATACCGGTCTTTTTTGCAGCGGTGTCCCAAATTCGAGATCAACTAATGCTCTGCACAGGTTGCAAAGTGGTCCAGAGGTTGGTATCTCCATGCTACTTTGATCGTAGTATATAACAAGGGCGAACTTTGCTCGCTCCGCAAATAGCGCCCTTTCATCTGGTGGGTTATTGAATAATCCTTGTTCATAGAGAATTTTTGCCGATACACTATAGAGCACAAACAAGGTTATAATCAACTTCTTTATGTATATGGATGTTGGTGTAGGAAGGATATATATGTCCAAACATTAGTCCCACTTACCCATCTCGAAGGGCTGGCGGCTCAATATTGATGACGGAGGGTGCTTTGATACTGGCGTTAACATATTGAACTTGCATACGAACATCAATCAGCAATAATGCTGGAGGATTTGGTTGCCGCATATACTCCAAAAGCCTTTGGGGTTTAATTGAAAGGGGGTATTTGTATTCTTCAGTCTTACTCCCGTTACTTGTTGCACTATTGGGTTGTACTTTGTTAGTGGAAGGAGGCGTGTTATCAAGACTCATCCCAACTTCATTTATTTTTCCATTGGTAATAGCCGCGGGTGTAGGTGCGGATGCTGGTGACGTTATCGTATGGACTGGCCGTGGCATAGGGATTGGGCTGGACGAAAGTTGTGATGAATAACTTGAGCCTGAGAGTGCGGATGTAGAGGCTGGATATGCTGGATATGCTGTTGATCCAGAGTTCCCCGTACTGCCAGTTGAAGATACCATGGTAGGTACAACTACAGGCGATGTCGATGGACTACTATTGACTGTAGGCATAAGAGGTTTGTACGAGGCGAGTGTGGTGGATAATGGAGCAGAAGTCATACCATTCGGTAGAGACATTGACATGGATGTTATCGGCGCTTGAATTCCCGCCATGACATTTGATCCAGAGCTGAGGATTGGTTGCTGTGATGTCGTAGAAGGATGGGACACAGAGAGAGCCCCTGGAGTAGGAGCAGAAGACGAATGTATACGTGGTGAAGCCGAGGGAATCGGTGCTTGTCCATCATATCTTGACGAAGACAAGAAGTCTGGTTTGTTTGGGCGAGGCGGTGGTTTTGGACGTCCCGCCTTCGCTGCAGCGACAAGAGCGTTTGCCTCGACATCCTGAATACTTTCATATTTTGCCATTAGTAGGTCTTTAATCTTTTCTGTGTCTGAAAATAATTCCACGATCCGCTAAATGAGTAGTATATGAAAAGTTAATGTTAATAAAATTCTGAACTTCTTTTTTATTTTTTATTTTTTTTTTTCTTTAAAAAAAAAAAAAACTAAGGCCAAGCTGGATATGTACCTTTTTGATCGCCACGTATTCTTGATCTGTCTTATACTTTTCAAAGTCTTTGTCATGCGTCACAACCTCAAGAACAATGCTGAAAAAGATAAAAAGTGACATAATTTCAAAAGACCAATTAGACATGTCACATCAACCATTAAAATGTGGTCTATTCTTACAACTTGCTTTTGCTGCTGTCTAATCCATGTCCTATACAAATAGCAACCGTATTTTTTTGATCTCACATATTTTTATACAATGACGTGTTGGGAAAATTAAAATTTGGTATTTGAAGGTAGTCCGTGCTCATATGATATCAATCTCAGACGTTAGCTTTTTTTTGTTGTTTGTTGCTTGCTGCTTGTTGCATGTTACATGCTTTCTGCTGCTGTCAGTGGTGACATGAGGACGACAATGTGCTGTGCCATGCTGTCATATCCCTTACTCATATTAGGCCCTTTTTTTTTTTTTTTTTTTTTTTAAATAATACTCACGTTGAAGCCTTGACATAAAGGACAAATGCTTCTTCCATGTCTCCTCTGACTCGTGCAAAGTGAGCCTAAAGGTATCAGGGAAGATGGAAATATCACCAGTAGTTAGTTATGTCATTCTTGTCATCATGGAAGTGTGCATTTCAAGCATGCAGGGGCCACAGCAGCTGATAAAAGCGTGCAATTCTGTGCAGAGAAAGTAAGAGAGGAAACCAAAAAAAAGTTTTTTTTTTTTTTTTTTTGAAAGGAAATAAGCAACGACCTGTTAAACTGGTGCTTGGTCAATACAGAGGGAAAACAATGTTATCAGGACATACAGAGTTGAGGATTTTTTCAGCGGAGCGAACATATTGCTTGGGCGAAATGCTTGGGTCTCGGTCGACCTTTGCGGCGACTACAAGGTCACGGATCTTCTTTTGGGGCGAGTCCAAGACAGTAGCAGTAGTCGTAGTGGTGGAGGAGTTAGCAGTTATGGGTAGCATGGAATTACTCTGGAATAGCAAAATAATTATGTTCAGGCACAGTTTCCTTGATAAGTTGAATAGACAAAATGAGCGAGAGAGGAGAAGAAGAAGAGGAAGAAGAAGAAGAAGAAGAATAATAATTAAGATGAAAGAAACTAAAGTTCAAAGAAGTCAAGGATGATAGAGCGATTAATGAGGAGGAATGGCGAGGAAATGAGGAAGGAATGGGGAATGACTGAGAGTGAGGTGTGAGAGAGAGAGAGACAGAGAGAAAAGCATGCAATAGAGGTACAATGAGACAAATAGAACAGGATGTGTCGGTTCTAAACTTTTTTTTACTCCTTTTTTCTTACTTGGGCTGTGGTAGGTAAGACTGCTTTTATTTATCTAACTAATTTTCACTACCTTTCTATCATCTCTGTCACATATCAACAGCAACTTGTTATATTTCCTTGCTTTCATTCTCAACATCCTTACACTGCATACAGAGACTAAACTACATCCTAGATTATATAATGGTATCCATAAATAATCCTCTAGTGGTGGGTTATCTTCCATGTCTTCACACATGCATCTGCTCCTGTAGTCACAATTCGGTCTTCCTCCACAAACGCTGTTCCAGAGACACTCAACGCATGCGCGTTCAGGATCGCAATACGCTTCGTCGGGTTCTCTAAGTTCCACACATACACATTGGTATCTAAGGATCCACTGACAGCATGTTTACCACTAGGGGACCATCCGATCGAGGTCACACGGGCAGTGTGGAAGACCCACTGCTGCACCTTAACCTCACCTGATGCAACGTCGTACACAAAAATCTTGCCAACACTATCACCTGCAGCCAGCAGATTACCCTCAGGGTTGAAAGATAGCACAGTGATGGCTCCCCTGTTCTTGGATAGAGTATGAACATCCTTTAACTTTGTGCCTTCCAGGCTCATAATATATACTTGACCTTCCTACTCGATGAAAACAGTAATAATAATAATAATAATAATAATAATAATAATAATAATAATAGTAATATCACTGAGCACTGTGATCATGAAAAAAAAAAAAAAAAAAAAAAAAAAAAAAAGGAAACAGCTGTACCTGACTACCAATAGCAACAGTGGTTCCCTGTGGGTTAATTGCAATTGACGTGGCACTGTATCCAACTGAATGTGAGTCAACTTTCTTATCGCCTTGCACGATCTGGATCTCATTCTCCGTCGCAATGACAATTGTCTGATCGTCACTAATAGACACGCTCTTTGGAAGTGCATTGGTCGAAATAACGGATACATCGTTTGATGTGCTTCTGTCCAGCACTCGGACGACATCATCCATGCCTGCTGAAATAAGTTTAACGCCACTAGAAGCCATTTGCATCACCTGATTGCTATGCTGAGCATACTCTAGAGGCGTGGCGACGCCGGAGCTTCCGTCCCATGAGACCACGCGTCCATCATAACTTCCAGTTACAAATGTCTTCTTGTCCTCAGGCACAGTAAAGGCCGTGATAGCTTTTTGATGGCCCTAGGTATTAATAATTGAAGTAACAGTTTAGGTAATTGAATGCAGGCTGTGTTAGAAAAACAAAAAAACAAAAAAAAAAAAAAAAAAAAAAAAAGAGAGAGAGAGTGGTGCACTAACCTTGACAATACGAGATGCCTTGCTGGTACTAGGATCAAGGTAGTTAAGATCACCTGAAAGAGACAAACTAATCAAATGGTCGCCCTTCCAGATATTTCCGACCTGGTGACCCATGAATGCAGATGCTTGACCAGAAAAGTCAAACGTACTAGTCAATTAACACAGATGATACAGAGTTAACGATCCATTTTCTTTCTTTCTTTTTTTTTTTTAACATCAGTCTGGCACAACCTACTTGACAACGTTGGAAGTCTCTACGTCCCAGATCTTGGCGGTTTGATCAGCTGAGGATGTCAGGAGACGCTTGCTATCGGCAGACCAGGAGAGGGCAAAGATACCTCCAGTGTGGCCATGCTCCGCAGTCGAAAGCTCCTTGAGCTTATCGCCGGTCTTGGCGTCATATAGAAAGATCTGATACGAGAAAGGAATGATTTTTAGTATAAAATGCTAGTTTTAAGGCCCCAATATCGGATAGTAAAGTGTATTGGGATTTAGAACAGACATACGATTCCGCACCTTTCCATCGGATCCGACTGAAGCAAACATTTCGCCATCAGTACTGAACTTGACTTCCTGAACAAAGCGCGTATGGTCCTGGATGGTTTTGTTGTACACAAATGGTACGCCGTTGGAGAATACTAAAGTATTGTCATCAGCTCCAGTGACAGCGCGGAAAGGACGCGTCTGACGAATAGCGACCGTGTTGGCGGTCTTGGAATGGCCCATGATTTCTCCACATGATGAGCCAGTGTCAGCTAAGAAAGCGTGCCCGAATCTGTTATAAGAGCGTAATGGGGTAAGATCTCTAGGTATGGCGGCGATACAACAACAATTCTCTAATTTTGATTTTGGCTTCTGATAATAAAATGAAGTTATTTATACTTTTCCCTTCCGTCGCCTACAGCGACAATGCGCTTGCTCTCTCCGTCCCATGCGATATCATTGACTCTACCCCCAAAGGTCTATAGTCATTATTACAAGCAAATACAAACATAATACGATGTTAATGAGGACATTTTGATATATATATATTAAGAAAAATAAAAAAATAGAAAAATAAAAAAAAAAACAATAGCAGCAGCAGCAGGAACGTAATTTTTACACGACTCTCTAATTTAAGGATTTGTTCCTCGCCGACAGTATCCCAGACTCGGACGTTGCCACGTTCATCTAAGAATAAAGAGCAAATCCAGCATGTCAGTTTCATGATCCGAATAGTTTCAGATATTGTACCTTGATATATATATTACCTCCTGAGGCAATATAATATCCAGAAGGAGCATATTTAGCTACGGTAACATTGCAAGAGTGCTGAGTATATTCTTTCGCAATATGAGGTTTCTATAACAAATATCAATAGTCACCGAATACAGAGTCAGTGCATGCACGTTAAGAAGCGGAAATTATAGGATTCAAGTCAATTGCATGGGATAGGCGCGTTACCTCGATATTACGGATGAAAACAGTTTTTCCATTAGTATAAAGGATATTTTCGCCCTTGGGATCAGTGTCTAAATGAACAGCCTGCCCACGAGTGGTTGCAGGCGAGGCTGCAAAAATGGATTCTAGTGGTGACGAAAAAAAAAAAAAAAAAAATAAGAGAAAGGTTGCTGTGATAACCAAGGTCTATTGTAGACTTACTTTTCCTTAAAAACAAAAAGCATACCACGAACAGCGGACATCGTATCGAAAAATCAATGATAAAATGATAAAATAGGGATTTATGCAAACGATGGAAGAGATGAATGGAGCAATGAGATAAATAAAAGTGGCAAAGGTCCACTCTACTCACGAAACACGAGTGTCCTAATGTTCACCCCCACTGCGGCTTGGGCTTTCTGAAGTCTTATTTCCCAGAAATAGTTCTTCCAATAATAATGGACTATGTTGTTATTTCCATTCAAAATTCCAGGATACTAAAAAATAATAGTGAAGAGAACACCGTCGCGAAGCTAAATGCAGAAATATAGTCACTTCAAATTCATGCGTCATCGCTCCGTCTCCACCATTACCATGGTTGTTGCAACAAGAGCTGGCTTCATAACTGAAACTGACGAACAGGAAGAACTTATGGAACAGGGAAATCAATATGAATATCAGGAAGCAGAAGAGCCAGATGGCTTACGCATGACTCGACTACGTGAGGTCCTTGAGAAATCTCTACAGGAAACCCTAAAGGCCTGCAATCTTAATGCCATCTGTGAATGCTTCCCTCTAGCAGCAGAGAAAAATCAAGATGCTTTACGTGATGCACACGAGAAAATCTGTCAGTTCCTGAGCATAGAAGTTAATGTAAAGAGGCAAAAAAAAAAGATCCAGAATCACATTAAGGCTCTCAGTTGTCAAGCTCGACTCACTCACTCTTTTGTCTCTATGGATATAAAACACGCAGAATGAGTTCGAGCAGATTATTGAGGAGCGGAATGTCGCTTTCAAGCTAAACGGCCTTGATCGACTTATTGCAGACGCCAAGAGCAAAGGCATTACGGCAGGGTCGCGCACGCTACCGGATTTGTATGTCCTCTATTTTTATCCGCATTTGGGATAGAACCATGGCACCTGTAATAGACGAACCTTAACAGTAGTGTCATTTTTAATCCTCGTTCCTAATAGGTCTCCAGAAATGGCTGTCCGAGCTCGTACCGCACCGACAAAAGAAGCTGAGATTGAGCGACTGAAGGCATTACTGGAAATGGTAAAAAAAGTGAAAAAAAAAAAATCAACGTCATTACTTGATTAGAAAACTAAAAGCAACGTCCTGGACCATTCCCATTGCCACTCTTATAGACTCAACTTGATAACCGACGACTTGGCAATGCCCTGAACCGTTCGAGTGCGGAGCAGAGAGTTATTAAGGATGAAGTGTCGGAAGCATTTTATGAGCTTCAAGAGGTAAATCGCTTTTGCATCTCATGATATTTTCTTCCTTTCTAATTTTTGCTCTAGTAGTATGTTGCGCTTTCTTCTAACCATTTTTTCATGCCCTCCTCCCATGTTTTGTGCATAGAGCACAAATATTGCAGCTCGTATGCCCAAAGAAAAAATGAATATGCTATTGTGCATGATAATTGATCAAATTCGAGATCCTTGATGATTGGATGCTGGCCATCCAGACTTGCGCTCTTACATCTTTACTTTACATCATAATATCCCATAGTATTCCATAATTCCAGCTTCAATATATCGTAGTAGTCTTGTCACTTAGTTTAGTCAAGCAGAGATTAAATGACCTTATTGTTCTTTTATCGGTTAACGGGAAGGAAGAAAACATGACTGAATATCTTTGCAATCAGGCAAGGCAAGCAAACATGGATAGCGTCTGTATCAATCTTTTTTTTTTTTTTTTTTTTTTTTTGTAAAGTTAATGGTGAATCCTATCCAAAAAATCGAATGGAACTCCTCCCTGAAATTTCTCTCAGCCTATTTCACATCATGCCCGGTAATAATATTTTTTACTATTTCAGTAATAAGTGACAATGGTGACAAGGGGGTCAAAAAATCATACGGCTTGCAACCGATAGATTGTTCAGAATCCCTCTCTACACTGGGTGGACGAAGCATCAGCATCGTTAAAATTATTTTGTATAATACATCCTTAACAGTGGTGGCAAAAAATACGTACAATGACTTCTAAAAATAAACGTACATATTCGAAAATATTCAAAGCACGTCACACCCAAATTTGTGGTGTAGCACAATCTTGGCCCAAAAACAAAGGGATCAGCTGATTTGTTACTTTTTATAGTCAATTTGTTCAGGTGCTTGAACACCCCTTTCTGTCATTGTACGGATTACATTCCTCAGTCCTGCTATTGAGTCTTGCATATCCTACAATGTGCACTTACTTTTCTACCTATTATACCTCAAGACATTAGGGCCTGCCAGGAGTAAAAGTAGAGCTGGTCGGCCACGGAAGTTCGATTACCGGAATGCATATTACAGTGGTCATCAAAAGTCATTCAATGATTTTGAATTTTTAACATTCTCATTCCTTTTCTTCATTCTCATCTAGCATGTGGCTAGTATATTTGGGGTAGTGCATTTGTTCCCCAGACCTCATGATTACTTTCATGTCTCATCCCTAATTATGACTTCATTGTGAAATAAGACCAATTTCAATTTGACCTGCCTATTGAATGACTTCTGCTGAATTTCAATGTTGATTGCAAAAAAAACTTTTTCACTTCTCTTTTTTCTACCAAGGTTACCTTCAGCTATATCTTCATACACCTCTACTTACAATTAACATTCCACATCGCTTAGTATTTATTATGAGGAGGCTTTTTATGGAAAAGGTACAAAATGCTCAGGCCTTACTTCGACAAGGGAAGTCTACAAGCGAAGTGGCAAGGCAACTTGGTATCTCTATTTCATCGGCAATAAGGATCAGGAGTGACGTCAAGGACAATATTCCTAAACCCAGAATGGGCAGACCCTCATTGGTTTCCCCTGCTACCAAGAGGGTTATTGCACGCGAGGTTGATACGGGGAAACTTAGATCCATTCTGGCAGTTCAAGAATACATCAGATCGAGCCATGGAGTGCATGTCAGTGTAGAGACTGCCCGACGCTATGTAAAATCAGAGGGTTTGAAAAACTATGTCCGCCCATTCAAGCCTAGGCTGACAAAAATGCAGATTGCGAAAAGGAAGAATTTTGCCCTCAACCACCTTGACTGGACTGTTGATGACTGGAAGCGAGTGATGTTCTCGGACGAAAAGCTTTTTGAAAGGCTTGGGTCCTTAGGAGGAAGAACACAATATAGGCGACCCGGCCACAGGACTTTAGAAGGTCGAGATGTTAGAGAGAGATCAAGGGGAGCACATAACAAATGTGACAGTATATAGCCTTAAGCCTATAAAAAGGCTTGTTTTAATAATTATAATAAAATCATCTTTTGTCCCTCTTAATTATTACATGGCAGTGCTCCTATTCGGTTTAAAATTTTGTCAATTATGATGTTTCAGATTAAAAAAATAAATATCACTTGACAAAATTTTAAACCGAATAGGAGCACTGTAATAATTAAATAATACATGGTAGCAAAGCTACTCTGATCCCCGACCTTCATCCCTGTCCCTGCCCCCCTGCCCCTGGTTTCCCCGTCCCCTACCCCCTGCCCCTGGTTTCCCTGTCCCCCTGTCCCCTGCCGTACCACCCTATCCCCTCGATTTTACTTTCAACCTGCTCTCTGTGGAAGATTTAGCCCTAATCCTTGATTCCATGACGCTCACTACCGACAACCCTGTGATGACCCCCGCTTTCAAGTACCCCCAACCCGACAAGTTCGAGGGAAAGCGCGATGGCTTCTCAGCCAACACCTGGTTGCGCTCTATGCGTCGTTTCTTCGTTGGTGCCTCTGTTCCTGCTTCGGCACAGACTGTCAGAGAAAGCTAATCTCTGAGTTCTCATCTTCTAGAAATTCCATCTATCCAATGTGCAAGTCATGTAAACAATGGTCACTCACCTGGACCGATAACGGAGATTGGGAAATAGATGACATCATTACGCCAAGAGTCTACGCCGAACCTAAATGTAATCGAGTGTCCAACGCAAACAAACAAATGCTGCGCAATCCGCAGCAAGACCAGATGACTCATCCGCATGACCCTAACTTGACCAATGATATTCCAGAAGACAAGCGCGAAGAGAGTACCCTATCAGATGTCAAGACTCCGATTAGTAATCAATCATCAAACGAGGATGACTCTGTCACCTCAACCAAAACATATAAATAGTCTAGTAGTACCATGTCAAATCAGCAGCAATAAACACCTTATCTTTACTATACTTGCTTCCTCCATCCTTGCCCACGTACCTCTCTTGATCCCTTGCACACCAACTGGTTAGTTACCTAGTCTTCCTCTAGTCTGGCTTTATTACACAGACGGTTGTAGCCATAGCCTTCCTCGGGCCTGACGCGGCCCGATGGTTTAACGGCGCAGGCATCTCTGACGATGCATCGTTCGACACCTTTGAAAAAGGGTTCCGGGATGCGTTCGTCCCCAATGATTTCTCTCAACTCATCCGATTTCGCCTGTCCTCCCTTAAGATGAGTATTACTGTCACCGATTACGTTGCCGAAGCCCGCGAACTCCTCACGGCACTCTTAGCTGATGAGCCTTCGGCAGGAGGACGCAAAGCAATCGAAGACTTCGCTTTCATCTTGCAAAAGTCAAGGTAGTGTTCTAGGGGGATCTAAGGGTGCAATAAAGGTATCTTTATTCAGGGGGAACTATGCTACAGAACTAGATAGAAAAGTAGACCTATTTATACTAGTTAATGTCCTGTTGCAAGGAATGCTCTAGAAATATGGGCGAAATACTATGTTGCACAAAATTATTATAGTGATTTCGCTTGCATCCTTCCCGTCATGAAGAAACCTATTATCTTGTTTTTCTTGAAGCCTCAAAGACGGCAAGCGCCTCTTTAGCGTTTGCGAGCGAAGATTTTGTTTCCCAAGTAGCTTCATCTAATGGATAGCCTTTCCAAAGAACGAGCCACTTAGGAGTTTTGCCAAACATTTTGAAGTCAATGATTTTGTCGACTTCATACTCCTCTTCTCCATCTACAAGCTCGGGGGCAGGGCGTGGTGGTGAGCGGTCGCCGAATTCACGAGGTGACTCAATATAGGGGCGAAGCAGATCGGCATTAAAGACTGGATGTTGATGCATGTCAGGCGGTAGTTCCAGCTTGTAGGCATTTTCATTGACCTTCGAAATGATCTTGTAAGGGCCTATGTACTCAGGTTCCAGTTTCTGCGACGGCCTATTTTTATGTCCCGCGACAGAGATGTTTTCCGAGCTTAAGAGCACCATGTCACCCACAGCAAACGTAGCAGGCCTGCGAGTTTTATCCGCTTGGGCCTTTTGCCTATTCTGCGCTTCGATGATGGCATCTTGAGCTAGCGCCAAATTCATCGACTGGGTTCGAACAAAATCACTGACAGCCGGAACATTGGTATCAGGTGGCTTTAAAAGAGATCCAGGGACTAGTGGATGGTGACCATAGTTCAGAAAGAATGGGGAGAAGCCTGTCGTAGGGTTGACAGAGTTTTGTATGCGAACTCCATCATAGGCAGTAAAAGATCCCAGTCGTTTTGCTTGTACGATATGTAAGAGCGGAGCATTTCTTCTAATGTTCTGTTGGCGCGCTCTGTTTGTCCGTCTGATTGTGGATGGAAGGCAGTAGACATGTTAAGTTTAGTGCCCATGAGCTACATCAACGTTGTCCAGAACTTGCCGGTGAAACGTGAATCTCTGTCTGACACAATTGTCCGAGGCATGCCGTGCAGTCTAAAAACATTGTCGAAAAAGAGTCGTGCAACATCAGAGGCAGTGTCGGTAGTTCGGCTAGCGCAGAAATGAACTTGCTTGGACAGTTTGTCCACAAAGACCGTGATCGCGTCAAAACCTCTGGCTGTCTTCGGAAGCTTGACAATGAAGTCCATTGTTACAGTATCCCTCGCCATGCGTGGCCAAAAATATGTTCGTCGCATGCTACTGTACGTTTTATCGAATCCCAAGTGGCCTGATATAGGAGCGTCGTGAGCGTCATGCAAGAGTTGTGAACGGAGTCCGTCGTCCTTGGGTATACAGAGGCGAGGGCCTTGTCCAGCGTTGATCCAGAGTAGACCATCCACCACGAAGTAACGATCCGAGGTGGAGGCATCCTTATACTGATGCACGAGGGGACCTAGAATTGGATCGTGTAGGTAGCAACTGGCTAGTTGTTTTCGAATGCCAGGGTCTAGATTGATATCCAAGGAGTTCAAAGTAGTAGGTGTAGCCTCCAAGTCCTTGAGGTCCGGTCTTCGTGAAAGAGCATCAGGGACGACGTTATCTTTACCAGGTTTATACTTGAATACGAAATCATACTCTTGAAGCAACTCCATCCATCTTGCTTGTCTGCGAGTCAAGTTCGGCTGGCTAGGAAAATGTTGTAGAGTGGCATGGTCGGTATAAACGACAAAGTGAGAACCGTCAAGGTACAGTGGCTTCCAATATTGTCCAAGTGTTTCATTCTTCCAAAGGAAGACTATAAGTGTTCAACAGTGAGCAGCGCTTGTGCCCTTGGATCCTAGCTGGGAGCAACCTGGAAGACATACATTATTTGCTCAAAACCTATTAGCGCTCCTGCTTGTTTCTGATAGCTTTTCACTACTTTGAAATTTTCCTCTCATTTGGACAATTTTTTAACCATCGTTTTTTTTCACCTATCAAAACCTCGTATTGCCCCTTTCGCCCTTATGACTGCTAACATCCGCTCAGGCATACTTCTTATCAGATTGCGGCAGACCTCCTTCGGTGTCTCCTCCTCCCATATCTGGCTCACTCTTTCCCAGAGTTCCAGCATGCCTTCTGGAATGGTCCCATGTTCGCGAATTTTTTTTTTTTAAATGATCCCACAAATGCTCAATAGGGTTTAGGTCTGGTGAATTGGCAGGCCATGTCAGTATTCTACCTGACGCTCTTGTCAATCCAATAGAGGCAAGGTAGGTTGTGACTCTCTTAGCCGTATGCTTAGAATCATTGTCTTGTTGGAAGATAAATTGCTCTGGATCAATGTTGTACCAATCCACAGTATTCAATAACTCGTCCTGGAGGATACGAATATACAGCTCGGAGTCCGGCGTGGAGTCGATCTTGGCCAAGTAGCCTGGCCCATCCCACGTCATGCAGCCCCAAACCATGATCGAACCACCACCATGTTTGACTGTGGGCGAAACTAACTTTGGGTCAATATCGGCCGCCTTCACCTTTGGTTCTTTATTTGTTTCCACCCAAACATAGCGCATGCCATCAGAAGATATCCTACAAATTTTGGACTCATCGGACCAAATTACTCGCTTCCAATCAGCTTCAGTCCAGTCTTTGTGCTGGAGAGCAAAGTCCAGTCGAGCTTTCTTTTGACGTTTTGTTAACCTAGGCTTCTTGACGGCTTTTTTAGTTTCCATGCCTATATCTCTCAGCGCCCGACGCACCGTATTAGCTGACACCGGATCTTCGTTCTCATCGTTATAGAGTCTGGTAGCATCGACAGCTGATGAGACTACACCACGGTGAAGCAACAATCGAATATAATATGCATTCCGGTAATCGAACTTCCGTGGCCGACCAGCTTTGCTTTTACTCCTGGCAGGCCCTAATGTCTTGGAGATATTATGGACTGAGGACTTGGATATGCCTACTTCTGTGGCAACCTGACGGATGGACTTGTGCTGCTCGAGTAAATGGAGAGCATCCTCAACAACGGAAGCTTTGATTGGCTTCATCTTTGGAGTGTTTAGAAAGAGCAACGTAGGCTCCTAGAAGAGTGTAGGTGAAGAGTATCTACTCAAGTGTGTGGGAGATAATTTGAAAAAAATTCAGCAAAGGTGCGTAAAATAAGTGATGGTTATATAATTGTCCAAATGAGATTAAATACTTTTGTCAATGAAAAACCATGGTGAATGAGACTAGAGATATTTTAAACTGAACCAGTCCACGTATCATTGGCATACTTGTTTACTCTGATAAAAATAAAAGTGCAAGCAACCATCGCTATTATTCTAATCAAGACGGAAAACATGAGCGTGGAACATTTGGACAAATTTGGAAGCCACTGTATCTTAAGAAGATGAAAGTTAAACACCGGCTCACCTCCGCGTATCACCCGCGCACAAATGGCAAAACCGAACGCACTAATGGCATCCTCGGCGCCGCATTAACAAAATACGTCGGTGATAAGATGAAGCACAAGTGGGACCTCTTTCTAGATCAGGCACTTTTCGCCTGCCGCACCAGAATACATAGCGTATCTAAGAAGTCACCATTCTACCTAGTCTATGGAATCGAGCCCACGATACCTGGCGACCTCACTCGTCCTTATGTACATATTCGATGGAGCGGTTTTTACAGAGGTTCAAGCCGCGAGAGAGGCCGAGCTTGAAAGATTGAGACTTGAGAGGCTATCAAACGAGGAGCGGCAACAGGCAGCCGCAAGGCTCATGGAGGAAAGGTATAATGAGAGACATGACATCGACTCCGAAGCTCCGAGGCAAGTGTACGAGATTGGCCACTGGGTTTTAGTAAAAAACATAGCGAAAAGGAAATTTGAATACCCTTGGTATGGACCATTGCGTGTCGAGACGATTACCCCTTTTGGCGCTTACAAGCTTATCTGGCCCGATGGAAAAGCGAAAATGGACCTTGTGCATAAAGACCGTCTGAAACCGGTGAATCTACCGGCGGGTAGTCCAGAACCGACGCGCGCATGGTATAAAACCCGCAACAGTCGCGATGAACTCACCATCCCCATGGAGACCATTCAAGAAGAAGACGAGCGAGGACCTCAGTCGGAGCCAGAAGTAGGTACAGCAGTGCAACCCATACCCCTCGAAGGTTCATCGCGTACAACGGCCCCATCATCATCAGCAAGGCCCGCAGCTACCGCATCGCCCCCTCCTGCGCGACCACCACGTTCCCTCTCAAGGCCCAATCCAAAGATTGACGCCGCAGGGGCGGCTTGGATTTCTCGTGGGGAGTCTGTCCTAAATCGAGGCAACTTAAGCTCACGTCCTATAACAAGTGACGTCATGGTAGGTAGGACCAGAGGTATACCTATAGTGGTACCCTCAAACCCACCCCGCCCTGCCTGGACGTGAGCTCAGCCACCCGATCCTCCCCGCTATAATAAATAGTGGACTCTCCGTCCCTGAAGTGTTCCTTACCTTTATCTTGGTACAACACTTCAGGTA